CACGTGAAGTCCGAACTGCAGAAGAGACACACCTGCACTGATCTTGGTGAGCTGCGCCACTACCTTGGCCTGCAGATCACCAGGGACAGAGCTGCTCGCACCATTACACTTTCACAGTCGCACATGGTGCAGCAGGTCCTTCAGCGGTTCGGGCTTCAGCACTCCACAGTACAGCGCACACCTCTTGCTGTTGACCACAGACTCACTGGACCCTTTCCTGACGAGCCGTTCGAGCCTAGTGGTCCCTACGCAGAGCTTGTGGGTTGCCTCATGTACCTGATGACTTGTACTCGCCCGGACCTCGCCTTCCCTCTCAGCGTTCTTGCGCGCTTTGTTGCGCCAGGGAGACACCGTCCTGTTCACTGGACAGCAGCTGTGAGGGTGGCGAAGTACCTAGCGTCGACGTCAGGCGTGGGGCTAGTTCTTGGAGGGCAGCAGTCTGTCGTACTTACTGGTCACTGTGACTCCTCTTACGCTGACGACGCTGAGACTCACAGGTCTACTCAGGGGTACTGTTTCAGCCTGGGTTCTGGAGCTGTTTCCTGGCGGTCCACGCGCTCCTCTTTGGTCTCGACCTCTACAGCTGAGGCTGAGATCTACGCTGGTGCCATGGCGGCACAGGAGCTGCGTTGGTTGACCTTCTTGCTCACCGACCTTGGTGAGCGGCCGAGCTCTGCACCGACCTTGTTCACTGACAACAAGGCGTCTATTCTCCTTTGTCGAGAGCCACGACTGGAGAGCAGAGTGAAGCACATTCACGTCAGGTACTTTCTTCTGCGAGAGTTGCAGAGGCGTGGACAGGCTCGCTTTGAGTTTGTGGAGTCTGAGGCCAACACTGCAGACATCTTCACCAAGGCGCTTCCGCCTTGTGACCACCAGAGGTGCTGTGTGCAGTTAGGCCTTGTTGACACTGGTTCTCGTGTTGCTTAGACTTGAGTGTACTGTTTACTTTGCTTTCTATATACCTCTGTTACTTCTTGGACTGGCCTTGTGGCCACTGTTGTTTGTGCTCAGACTGTGTGGTGACGTTGTGATCCACCCTGAGCTTCGTTTCTTGGACTGGTCTTGTGACCGTACTCGTTTGGTTCTGCTAGACACCCCTCACTTAGGCTATGGGGGTGTGTCAAATGTTGTAGCCTATAGTGAGGTTTGTCTTAGGGGGTACAAAACTTAGGGTTAGCTATATGTACCCCAACCAACATCAATGCACCATTCATTCCTCATTCTGACATAAGCGACCTACAAGCATAATCGACCTTTTTTTTTAAGCGCATGTGACAATTTTGTTTACTGTACGCTCGACTAGTTGTAATCTCGGTCGAGTCGACAGGACAGTGAGGGCGTATTTCGGACCTCGAAACAAGTGACTTCCGAACAAGCTGGTTGTCGCACAGACCAAATCTGTTACGAGGCTAATTTTTTCCCCCCCTCCAAACAAACATGTCTGACAAAGTAGCAAAACGTCGTACAACAGTCGATTGTTACGAGATGCTTGTTCGTATGACCTGAAATGCGGCCTGAGTCTCACAAAAGAGTCGGTTGGACTCCCCTCTCCTTCTGCTGGCCTGGCAGGCAGGGTTTGTTGCAGGGAGGGGAGGGGAGGGAGCGACCTTTCGCTACTAGGCAGACGGTCTGCTTCCTCAACGCGGGTCCTAGGGAGCCGGCGAAGTGGTGCTCGTCGTTTGCTGGTGGGGGTAGCGAACGGGGCTGCCCGTCGTGTGGTGTGGTGGGGTGGGGGTGGGGGGAAAAGGTGTAGCGGGGTTGCATCCGCTAGGGGATGTGTCGAGGCGAGGAAACTCAGTTCCCTCGGCTGAGGGGAGGGGGGGAAGGGGGGGGGGGTTGTGGGGTTTTGAGCAGGGCATTCCATTGCCTCACTCAAGGGGCTTGGGTACTTGAAACGCCTGCATTTGTCTCAACGCCCTTGATCCTCCATTTGTCTCTCAAAGCCAGGCTGCATCCCCTTGCTGAGACCTTGAGCCGGCAGTCAGTTGGGAGTGCTGCTCGACGTACGCTGACGATGGAGGTCAAAGCGATTGTACCCCAGGAGGGAACAAATTCCTTTATTAAACTCCCAATGGCTCCTCGCGTCGTTTTCTGCCCAGCGAGGTCCCTCCGAGATAACTCACCTGTAAGAGACGTACAAATGTCAAGTTTCCGTTCGGCACTATGCGTCGTGAGTTCGGCGACGCCCGTCAATTCGCTGACTGAAATTACATTATCTCGGAGGGATTCTTGGACGCAGACCCTCTCAGCAGTTATGCAGGAGCAACATGTGTGACGGACCAAAAGCTACTGATTCTTTAACGTCCTGGCCAGCGTTGAACGCTATTGTAACGAATACATCTACAGTACTGTCTCTGGCGGGTGCATCTGGTTGCTTGGCAGATGATCTCAGGGAATAAAACAGCTCCAGACAATCTTTGGCAACCTAGAGAACTTCTGCGATAACCCCCGCGTTCGATCTTTGCGACTACGGCTTAGGATCTCACAACGCGAACCCGCTACATCAGGGGTTCGTGAAGTAGCGTCCCCGTGTAGTGCTGCTTGTAGCTTGTGGTTAGAAGTACCGTGTAGTAAGCAGTGGTAAGCTTGTGATCCATTACTATGACGGTGTCGTCTCCCTCCCTTCCATTACACCATGACGACGTACCGCATCACCCGGAGAAGCAGCAGCAGCAACGGTCGAACCTGCTCGTCCCGCTTCACCCGCTTCCCTACTACAGCCACCTCCTCCTCGTCGCCGTCCTTATGTTCAGCCTCGGGTACCTCTCAGCCTCCCCGCGTTCGACCGTTTTAGAGCCTCGTCTTGTCCGTTCCGACTCGGAACATTCCCAGTCAGCGGATTTTTCTCAAGCGGATGCATCTCGTCTCGATACAAGCAGAGTGGTCCGCTTGCAGCAGTCTGTCAGTCCGAGGCTACTGGATCCATCCCCAAGTGAGCAACTCTCAAGTGACACGTGTGCATCTCCCATTGGCGTCCAGCTCCCGCCTTCTTCATCATCCACAACCGAACCTGTTACTGTAGCACCGGAATGGACGCCACTACCCGACCGGTACCTTATGCTTTCATGCACCAACGGCGAAAGCACAAATCGCCTCTTATGCTTTCAGAAGACCATTCTGGCAGCGATTCTCCTTAATCGCACGCTGCTGGTTCCCGAGGTTCCTCTCTGCGTCCCTCGCTCTCGTGGTAGGCCGGTGGTGTACTCTGAAATCCTAGACATTGGCCACTTGTCCCGGTGCTTCGGAGACGAGCCTAAACCTGAGCAATCAGGTCCGGAAGCAGATTCGCTGCCTCTCCGCAAGGTGATAACAGGATTAGAGTTCAACTCTTTAAAAGGCGGTAATGGGAGCGACTTAGTAGTTGATAAAATTTTCTGCGGTCAGGTGCAGTACAGCTGCACCTTCATAGATGGCACCTGCGGCGAGACTGCTGAAATTAAGCTCTTACAGAAAGAGATCGTACCGGAGGAGGAGGGTAATCTCTTTGACCTGGCTCCTAAAATTGCAGCTGCGACTGCTGACGTTCCTGTGCTTGCTCTTGGTGACCTCTTCTTCTCATTCTTCAAGGTTGATTATCCTGGTTCCGAGTTCTTCTGGCCAAGCCGATTTTTCAACTCCTCGTGTGACCTGCTTTTCCAGCCTTCCCAGCAAGTGCTTGACCAAGCTGCAGGGTTCATAGAAGAGTACATTGGGAGGGATTATGCTGCTATACACCTTCGGCGGACAGATTTTCTTGAGCATAGCCACCGGATGACGGATATGCGGTACTGGCCGTTACAGGCGGTGGCGGAGTGTACTGCATCAAAAATGGTGCAGTTAAACCTGACTGTCCTTTTTGTTTCCTCTGACGCTTCTGATGAGGAGGTAGAGGTGTTCAAGGAGTTGTTACAGTCACAAGCATCGCTTGCAAGAGCGAGGGGAATTGCATGGTCGATTGTGGTTGTCAGATTGCCTAAGGAGCTGAATCTCCAACCAGATCAGCGAGCAATGGTGGATAAGCTAGTGGCAGCACACGCCGTTGTTACAATGATCACTGATCGGTCGACGTTCTCACACCACGTAGGGTATCTAAGGGAGAGTCTTGGGCTCGCATCGTGTCATGATGGGCACATATGCGATGGCAGTTCTAAAGAAGCTGTTAAGACAGTGAAGACCTCTTTATGGTCCATTATTTGCTTATGTTGATGCAGGTAGATGTTTGCATGTGTAGAATGCAAATAAAACTGCTTCGAAACTTCCATGTAACCGCTGTATTCTGTATTGCAGTAATGTTCTAACGCGGATAAGTTAGACGTTGAGGGCGGGAATCCAACCATGCACGTTGAGCTGTCAGCTCAAGTCAGAGAGCACTACAGTACCTTCGGGAACTCCACCATATCAAGTCATCGAGATTTACCGCACAAAACCTTGTAAAAACGCTGTAAATCGTACAGAATCTGCGAAAACCGCTTTCGGTGTGCTGGCTTCTGCACTTCTGGTCATCCTTGCCCTGCCCATCCTTCAATCCATTCATTCCAACAGCCTCTTCTTGCTGTCCTCCTGCGCCTGCTATCACCAGTGACCATTTTTCTATCAAATCTTTAAAGCAAGGGTGCACTTTCCTAAGGGTGGTTTTTGGGGGCATTGTCAGTGGTCCCCCTTTGACGCTTGCTGATTCGATAACGAATCGTACAGGGTACAGAAAGCTGGGGCGAGAGATTCAAACAAGGCTGGCGACGCCACCCTATTTCGCACGGAGGTTGCGTTGGGGGGATACTCCGCGCCAGGGCGGAAATCAAGCCTAGGGCGTAGCGCAACCAACCAAGTGATAAAGCAAACGTGAGTTGACAGTTGAACATCAGAAGCAAGTGATAACTGAAGAGCTTCATTTCGTTCAGCTTGAACGCAGAGGTACCTCTACGCAGATTCATTTCATACGTTTTCTAGCGCCACTACGACAGAGCATATACGGGTAGATTGTCCGCCTCCCACAGATACAACTCGCCAAGCCTTATCACATGCTAATGGCGAAATCGCGGCTAGCTCGCGCCGTTATCGCCTGCGCGGCGCGTCGTTTTCACGTCGCTGCCTCCTCGTCGTGTCGCCACCTCGCATCCGCTTCCCCGACGCGCCAGAGCCCATCCTCCGCCTCGCCACATCGCCGCCTCGCCGCCTCGCCGCCTCGCCGCCTCGCCACCTCGCCGCCTCGCCACATCGCCGCCTCGTCGCCTCGCCGCTTCACCACATCGCCGCTTCGCCGCCTCGCCGCCTCGCCTCATTGCAGCCTCGCCGCCTCGCCACCTCGCCGCTTCGTCACATCGCCGCCTCGCCGCTTCGCCGCCTCGCTGCCTCGCCGCCTCGCCACCTCGTCGCCTCGCCACATCGCCGCCTCGCCGCCTTGCCGCCTCGCCGCCTCGCCGCCTCGCCGCCTCGCCGCCTCGCTGCCTCCCCTCTGCCTATCTCCTCCTATCCCTCTCCCCACTCTGAGAATCTCCTTGTTACGCTCACCTTCCTCCTCACCTAACTACTCCGAACCCTCCCCCCCTCTCCTGCATCCTATGACCCCCTCACGCCCTCTCCCTCTCTCTCCCCTCTTTCTACCTCCGGCGATCCCTCGGAGCCCTCTCTCCCTCATGTCCCGCCTTCCTTCCCCTGATTTTTCCCCTCCAACCTCATTATCCTCATCCCTCCTTCCCCTCATTTCTCACTCCCCCCCAGGTCTCCACTATATGCTCTCCATCTCTCGCCTTTCGTTGCCTTATTTCCACCTGCTGCTTTCCCTCCTTCCCTTCCATGCTTCTCCTCGTTTTCCGCCCTTTCTTCCCCGTGTTCCCGGCCCTAGTTCCCCTGTTTCCCTCCTGCTTCCCCTCATTTCCCCCCCTGCTTCCCCTCATTTCCCCCCCTGCTTCCCCTCATTTCTCCCCTTGCTTCCCCTCATTTTCCCCCCTGCTTCCCCTCATTTCACCCGCTGGTTCCCCTCATCTCCCCCCCTGCTTCCCCTCATTTTCCCCCCCTGCTTCCCCTCATTTCCCCCCCTGCTTCCCCTCATTTCTCCCCTTGCTTCCCCTCATTTTCCCCCCTGCTTCCCCTCATTTCCCCCGCTGGTTCCCCTCATTTCCCCCCCTGCTTCCCCTCATTTCCCCCCCTGCTTCCCCTCATTTCCCCCCCTGCTTCCCCTCATTTCCCCCCCTGCTGCCCCTCATTTCCCCCCCTGGTTCCCCTCATTTTCCCCCCTGCTTCCCCTCGTTTTCCCCGATGCTTCCCCTCATTTCCCCCCCAGCTTCCCCTCATTTTCCCCCCTGCTTCCCCTTATTTCCCCCCCTGCTTCCCCTCATTTCCCCCCCTGCTTCCCCTCATTTCCCCCCCTTCTTCCCCTCATTTCCCCCCCTGCTTCCCCTCATTTTCCCCCCTGCTTCCCCTCATTTCCCCCCCTGCTGCCCCTCATTTCCCCCCCTGGTTCCCCTCATTTTCCCCCCTGCTTCCCCTCGTTTTCCCCGATGCTTCCCCTCATTTCCCCCCCAGCTTCCCCTCATTTTCCCCCCTGCTTCCCCTTATTTCCCCCCCTGCTTCCCCTCATTTCCCCCCCTGCTTCCCCTCATTTCCCCCCCTTCTTCCCCTCATTTCCCCCCCTGCTTCCCCTCATTTCCCCCTCTCTTGCCTCCGCTGCTTGCCTTCACAGTCTCCATGTGGCTTGTCCTCAGTTTTTCCTTTGCCTACCCACCTGATCCCCCGTATTTTCCCTCTCAGTGTCCGTGTTGCTTGTCTCCCCCTGTCCTCCGCTCTCCCCCTGTTCTCCTCTCTACCCCCCGCCCTCCCTTCCCCCCCCTGTCTTCCCCTCTCCCCCCTGCCCTCCCTTCTCCCCTCTGTCCCCCTCTCGCCCCACCTATCCATATTCCACCCCGTCCTGTCCTCCTCTCTCTAACGGGTCCTCTCTCCCTCCTAACCCACTTCTCCCCCCCCTGTCCTCCTCTCTACCCCCTGCCCTCCTTTCTCCAACCACACCTCTCTCCCTCCTGGCCCTCCTCTCCTTCCACCGTCCTCCTCTCCCCCCCTGTCCTCCTCTATCCCCCTGTCCTCCTCTATCCCCCTGTCCTCCTCTATCCCCCTGTCCTCCTCTATCCCCCTGTCCTCCTCTATCCCCCTGTCCTCCTCTATCCCCCTTTCCTCCTCTATCCCCCTGTCCTCCTCTCTCCCCCTGTCCTCCTCAAGGGGGAAAAAGTAGAGTGGCAGGTCAGGGGGAACGGAGGTGGGAATGTGGGAAGGAAGGCGAGTGGTAGGTGAAGGAAAAGTTCAACGTAGAGTGGGTTATGAGGGTGATGGTAGGAGGGTATGTGGGAAGGAAGGCGGGTGTTAGGTGTGTGGGTGAGGCGTCGCGCATCCTCTCCCCTTGTTGCGTATGCTCCCCCCTCCTTGCGCCTCCCCTCCATCCATAGTTGCGCCTCCCCTGTCCCATACTTGCATTCTCAACTAATCCTTTCTGCCCTTCCCGTTCCTACAAAATTCTCGCCCACGCTACGAAACCCCCTACTGCGATGTCTGCCCACCTCCAATCTGCCCTTCTTCCCGGCCTTAGTACCCCCCTCACTGCCCCATTCTAGTCCTGCTTTCTACCCCGAGGTCGCACTTCCCCTCCCCCCAGGTCGCACTTCCCCTCCCCCCAGGTCGCACTTCCCCTCCCCCCAGGTCGCACTTCCCCTCCCCCCAGGTCGCACTTCCCCTCCCCCCAGGTCGCACTTCCCCTCTCCCCAGGTCGCACTTCCCCTCCCCCCAGGTCGCACTTCCCCACGCCAGTTCTGTGGCGACCGTCGCCGATTGGGCTGCGACACCGGCGAATAACGGCAAGTCGCCGGTCCGCACAGTTCCTCACACTATCGTACGCAGCAAGTCGCCGTTCCGCACACCGTGGCGCGCGGCAAGTCACCACCCCACACACCCGTCGCACGCGGTTGGTCGCCACCTGCGCACGCTGTCTACCGTGCAGTTAGCTACTAGCCGGCTCGCACGCGGCTCGCACGACGCTCAACGTTCGAGATTCGCCATTCATCCTTTGCCGCTCGCCGATCGTTGTACACATGTGCTAGCGGCGCTCGCTTCTCGCCGCCTTAGCCATCTCGGCCTCCCGCTATTTAGCCAGTCATCAGCGGATGGATATTAGCTAATCAGCGACTGTCGCTATGGATATTAGCAAATAAGCCACGATCGGTATGGATGTTAGGGGATCAGCGACCCTTGCTATGGATATTAGCGGATTAGCGACATGCTATGACGACGGCCGTAACCCTAATTCGCGCATTTGACGACGGCGAAACTCTGCTACTCTCGTCATCTAGTTTATCGATTGCCTGCACTAATGCTCTGATGACGGTCGTGCGCTAGACTTCTGGTTGCTACGCTATGACCTGCTTACAAAATAAGTGTCGTGGTGCTACGAGAGTCAAGTGCGTCTTAGTTCACTAACGGCCTAGTTGTGACTCAAGTTCCCAACTCCCAGTTTTGAAGTCGCAATTGACGACGGGGGAGAGACAACCCGCGCAAGTCCGCCAACACTGAAGTGAGGTTCGCTCGGACTCCCAACACAAACAGGGTAACCATGTGGAGGCAAGTGATAAACCTTTGCCTCCACCCCCCCCAAAGTGCACCCTTGCTTTAAATACGAGATACACCTCATAGTCCCGATTCGGCTTCTGGAGTTTTCTCAGCCTGTCAGTCATATCAGCCTCATTAGCCTCCTGTCATGTAGATTAATGTTAAGAATCGCCCTATCCGAGCGCTGTGTTTGAGGCGTCTCAGAAAAAAAACAATCCAAGGTTGTTTCTGAGGCGTCTCTCTCAGGAATTAACTCAGGCCTTCTGCTACGTAATTTGTGTAGATTCCACCTTGCTTGGGGTGTAGATTCCATGCTCGTCGATTAAGGTTCGCCTTTTCCTGATCGCTACGATGGCATCGTCCTTGGGGGAATCCATCGATTCCTACGACAACGCGAAATCCCGGCGACGAGGAGGACTCGTTAAGGTAGGGATCGGTTAGGTCATTCCCGCTATTGTGAAACTCGTTAAGGCAGGGGTCGTTTTTAAATGGACTGGCTTTTCTAGGACTCTATAGGGTAGGCTTGGGGCTGGAGGAGCGTTATTCATGCTAACTCGCTTCTTTCCTTGAACGCAGTTCGTACTCCTTCGGGTGCTTCCTTACCTCCGCCTTTTCTCTCCCCCTCCCCCCCCCCCCCCCCCCCCCCCTCCTCATTTCCCCTTTCCCCCTTGCTTCCCCTCCTCCCATCAGCGCGTGGCGATCTATTTCCGCCAATCCCCAGCGCGCCAATTCGCCGGCATCCTCACCGCGCTCTTCCTCCTCTGGCTCCTCTCCGTCTCCGTCTCCTCCCGCCGCTCCCGCTCCGCCTCCTCCTCCCCTTCCTCTTCCTTCGCTTCCTCCTCTGTTTCTTCCTCTGCTTCCTCCGCTGATTCATCCGGCGTGAAAGCAGTGGAGGGGGGACAACAGGAGGGAGAGACGAGAGGGGAGAGAGTGGAGAGACACAGTGGAGGTGTGGAGCGAGTGAGTGATGAAAGCAGAGAGAGTGTGAGTGGTGCGGGCAGAGAGAGGGTGAGTGGTGAGGGCCAAGGAGCAGAGGACGAGACGTGGGCTGACAGCATGGCTCGAGAGCTCCGGGAAAAACGGAGACGGAAGGAAGAAAGACGGAAGCAGGAGGAGCAGAATCGGAAACAAGGAGGCAAGGACAAGCCTCAGGAGACAGAGGAAGAGGCGGAGAAGACGAGGAGGAGGAGAGAATTAGAGGCAGCGACAGCGAAGGAGAAGGAAGAGGAGTTGGAGGTAGAGAGAAGGAAACAGGAGCTGGATGAGGAGCTAGAGAGGCAGAGAGAGGAGCTTGCGAACCAACCCAGGGACGAGGTCCCGGACCTGAAGCTCAGGAACGGTAGCCGAGGCTCGGGAGCAATCGGGGCGAGGCTCACCGACCCTCGTGGGCTGGTCCGGGACGAGGCAGGCGTGGAAGGGCAGGGAGGAGGAGGGGAGGCACGCTGGAGCGGGGAAGGCAGGGGAGGGAGGATGGGGAATTCAAGCCTGAACGTGCTGCCTTTACGAGCGATGAATAAAAGAGACTTCAGGAGGGAATGGGCGAATAAGAGACTGAGGGACGGGCGAGCGAGGGAGTTAGCAGGGGAAGGCGCGAGAATGTGGATGGGCAGGGCGAGGAGGCAAAGGAGGGGAGAGCTGGGGAGGAGGGGTGGGGTGGCAGGAGGGAAGGGGAATTGGCTGGCGGAAGGATGGGCAGGAGGGGGGCTTGGGAGAGAAGGGAGGGGTGGGATGGAGGGGAGAGAAGGCGCAGAAGGGTTAGGAATTGGTGCGGGGAACATGAGTGCTGCTGCTGGGGGCTTTTCACAAGATTTTGCTGGTTCGGAGTCCCATCGAGCGGAAGCCGAGCCTGTGTGGAAGGAACGACAGAAGCAGGTGGTTGCCGCCTTCCGGCACGCTTGGAAAGGCTACCGAACCTACGCGTTTGGTTCGGACGAGCTCATGCCGCTGAGCCGCGGCGGCGAGGACGGGTTGGGAAGGCTCGGGGCTACTATAGTGGACGGTCTAGACACTGCCATGATTATGGGGATTAAAGACATAGTAGACGAGGCCGGGCAGTGGATTGTGAATACTTTGCCTGAGAAAATCAACCATGCCGGGCAGGTGAACTTCTTTGAGACGACAATCCGGGTTCTTGGTGGGCTGCTGAGCGCATACCACCTGAAAAAGGACCCGGGCTGGCGTGGAAAAGGAGGCTTGGAAAGAGGAGGAGGGGGAGGGGGAGTGGCAGGAATGCAAGGAGGAGAGAGAGGAGGAGCGAGAGGAGGAGAGGGAGGAGAATTGCAAGAAGACGTAGGGGGGCCGGCAGCAGAGAAGTATCTGGAGGTGGCGGTTGACTTGGGGGATCGGCTCATGCTCGCCCTCACTCAGAGCCCCACGCCCGTGCCCCTCTCAGACGTATACCTGGCTGGACGGTGAGTGCTGTGACCTTCTCTGTGACTCCCTTAAAGCCAAGCGGGCAGCAGAGAGGTATTTGGAAGTGGCGGTAGAATTGACAGATCTTGTTCCCCCTATTCGTGTACCTGAGGTGGACCGTGGACTTGGCGGATCGACTCATGCTCGCCCTCACCCAGAGCCCCACGCCCGTGCCCCTCTCCGATTTATACCTGGCTCAGCGGTGAGTGATCCTTTCTGTGGCCATCTCTGTGACCCCTTTGATACAAGATGGGTGCAGCAGAGAAGTATCTGGAGGTGGCGGTTGACTTGGCGGATCGACTCATGCTCGCCCTCATTCAGAGCCCCACGCTCGTGCCCCTGGCTCAGCGGTGAGTGCTGTGAGCCTTTCTGTGACCCTGTTGAAGCCATGAAGAGGCAAGCAGTGAAGAGGTATCTGGAGGTGGTGGGTGACTTGGGGGATCGGCTCATGCTCGCCCTCACTCAGAGCCCCACGCCCACGCCCCTCTCAGACGTCTACCTGGCTCAGCAATGCGTTGGGCCTTGTAGGTGCTGTTTGCTGTCTGTGCCCACGCCTGTCAAGCTTCCCTCGCTTCTCCTTTCCTCGCTTCTCCTTTCCTCGCCTCTCCTTTCCTCGCTTCTCCTTCCCTCGCTTCTTCATTCCTCCCACCAGCGATGCGCAGTTTCAAGGGATGGGGTCCCTGAGCTGAGCCGAGCTACTCACGGGGGAGAGCAAGCACCTTTCCATGTTAAGTTTCATCTATTCTGGTGTACTCCTCCCTGCCCATGCTGCTAACAGATACGCCCAGAGAGCCAACGGGGGCGGGCTGAGCAGCACAGCGGAGTGCACGACGGTGCAGCTGGAGTTCTGGGAGCTGAGCCGACTCACGGGGGAGCAGAAGTACGGAGCAGCAGCGATGCAGGTGATGGAGCATGTGTGGGGGCTGCAGCGACTGGATGGACTCGTGCCCATCTACATGGAGTGAGTGTGCCTTTCGGGAGGTGGGGTGGGGATGACAGGTGATTTGGGGGGGGGAGTGGGGAACAGCTAAGAGCAGTGGGTGGGTCATGGGGGAGAGGAAGTTCGGAGCAGCAGCGATGCAGGTGATGGAGCATGTGCGGGGGCTGCATCGACTTGACGGGCTAGTACCGATATACATGGAGTGAGTTCTTCAGGAGGGTCGCAGAGGAGGGGTGGGGATGGGGTGCTGCTGGTTGGGAATAGGGGGAAGCTCGGAGCAGCAGCGGTGCAGGTGATGGAGCATGTGCGGGGGCTGCATCGACCATATGGGCTTGTGCCGATATACATGGAGTGAGTGTGTTCGTTGGGAGGTGCAGGTGCCAGGGGGGTGGGTGGGGGGGAGAACAGCTTATGGCAGTGGGTGGGTCACAGGGGGGAGGAGGGACGGAGCAGCAGCGGTGCAGGTGATGGAGCATGTGCGGGGGCTGCATCGACCATATGGGCTTGTGCCGATATACATGGAGTGAGTGTGTTCGTTGGGAGGTGCAGGTGCCAGGGGGGTGGGTGGGGGGGAGAACAGCTTATGGCAGTGGGTGGGTCACAGGGGGGAGGAGGGACGGAGCAGCAGCGATGCAGGTGATGGAGCATGTCTGTGAGTTGCAGGCTCTGGTAGGTTCTCAGGGGAGAACCTTCGTCTGGGGTCAAGGAGCGACAGTTACTACGAGTACCTCATCAAGGCCTGTGCTTGCTTGCTTGCCTTTCTCCCTCCCTTACTCCTGCGATCTACTCCCAGTCCGGACTCTGGTAGATTCTCAGGGGAGAACATTCGTCTGGGGTCAAGGGGAGACAGCTACTACGAGTATCTCATCAAGGCGTTCCTGCAGCAATGGGACCACCCACCCGCGTTGCTGCACGTGGTAACCACTGGTGTGTGTTCCTATCTTGTGTATCCCTCCCTCCCAGTCCTGACTCAGGTCGGTTCTCGGGTGAGAACATTCGTCTGGGTTCAAGGGGAGACAGCTACTACGAGTATCTCATCAAGGCGTTCCTGCAGCAGAGGGACCACCCACCCGCGCTGCTGCAAGTGGTAACCACAAGCTTTCCAACGAGCAGTGACGGGCGAATCAATGACACTGGTGCAGCAGCCGGTGGTGGTGGTGCTGGTGGCGCTGCTGGTGGTGATGGGAGCACGGGAGCAGCAGGAGCAGAAGGAGGAACAGGGGGAGGAGGAGGGGCAGGGGTAGGAGGAGGGGCAGGGGTAGGAGGAGGGGCAGGGGTAGGAGGAGGGGCAGGGGTAGGAGGAGGGGCAGGGGTAGGAGGAGGGGCAGGGGTAGGAGGAGGGGCAGGGGTAGGAGGAGGGGCAGGGGTAGGAGGAGGGGCAGGGGTAGGAGGAGGGGCAGGGGTAGGAGGAGGGGCAGGGGTAGGAGGAGGGGCAGGGGTAGGAGGAGGGGCAGGGGTAGGAGGAGGGGCAGGGGTAGGAGGAGGGGCAGGGGTAGGAGGAGGGGCAGGGGTAGGAGGAGGGGCAGGGGTAGGAGGAGGGGCAGGGGTAGGAGGAGGGGCAGGGGTAGGAGGAGGGGCAGGGGTAGGAGGAGGGGCAGGGGTAGGAGGAGGGGCAGGGGTAGGAGGAGGGGCAGGGGTAGGAGGAGGGGCAGGGGTAGGAGGAGGGGCAGGGGTAGGAGGAGGGGCAGGGGTAGGAGGAGGGGCAGGGGTAGGAGGAGGGGCAGGGGTAGGAGGAGGGGCAGGGGTAGGAGGAGGGGCAGGGGTAGGAGGAGGGGCAGGGGTAGGAGGAGGGGCAGGGGTAGGAGGAGGGGCAGGGGTAGGAGGAGGGGCAGGGGTAGGAGGAGGGGCAGGGGTAGGAGGAGGGGCAGGGGTAGGAGGAGGGGCAGGGGTAGGAGGAGGGGCAGGGGTAGGAGGAGGGGCAGGGGTAGGAGGAGGGGCAGGGGTAGGAGGAGGGGCAGGGGTAGGAGGAGGGGCAGGGGTAGGAGGAGGGGCAGGGGTAGGAGGAGGGGCAGGGGTAGGAGGAGGGGCAGGGGTAGGAGGAGGGGCAGGGGTAGGAGGAGGGGCAGGGGTAGGAGGAGGGGCAGGGGTAGGAGGAGGGGCAGGGGTAGGAGGAGGGGCAGGGGTAGGAGGAGGGGCAGGGGTAGGAGGAGGGGCAGGGGTAGGAGGAGGGGCAGGGGTAGGAGGAGGGGCAGGGGTAGGAGGAGGGGCAGGGGTAGGAGGAGGGGCAGGGGTAGGAGGAGGGGCAGGGGTAGGAGGAGGGGCAGGGGTAGGAGGAGGGGCAGGGGTAGGAGGAGGGGCAGGGGTAGGAGGAGGGGCAGGGGTAGGAGGAGGGGCAGGGGTAGGAGGAGGGGCAGGGGTAGGAGGAGGGGCAGGGGTAGGAGGAGGGGCAGGGGTAGGAGGAGGGGCAGGGGTAGGAGGAGGGGCAGGGGTAGGAGGGGCAGGGGTAGGAGGAGGGGCAGGGGTAGGAGGAGGGGCAGGGGTAGGAGGAGGGGCAGGGGTAGGAGGAGGGGCAGGGGTAGGAGGAGGGGCAGGGGTAGGAGGAGGGGCAGGGGTAGGAGGAGGGGCAGGGGTAGGAGGAGGAGGGGCAGGGGTAGGAGGAGGGGCAGGGGTAGGAGGAGGGGCAGGGGTAGGAGGAGGGGCAGGGGTAGGAGGAGGGGCAGGGGTAGGAGGAGGGGCAGGGGTAGGAGGAGGGGCAGGGGTAGGAGGAGGGGCAGGGGTAGGAGGAGGGGCAGGGGTAGGAGGAGGGGCAGGGGTAGGAGGAGGGGCAGGGGTAGGAGGAGGGGCAGGGGTAGGAGGAGGGGCAGGGGTAGGAGGAGGGGCAGGGGTAGGAGGAGGGGCAGGGGTAGGAGGAGGGGCAGGGGTAGGAGGAGGGGCAGGGGTAGGAGGAGGGGCAGGGGTAGGAGGAGGGGCAGGGGTAGGAGGAGGGGCAGGGGTAGGAGGAGGGGCAGGGGTAGGAGGAGGGGCAGGGGTAGGAGGAGGGGCAGGGGTAGGAGGAGGGGCAGGGGTAGGAGGAGGGGCAGGGGTAGGAGGAGGGGCAGGGGTAGGAGGAGGGGCAGGGGTAGGAGGAGGGGCAGGGGTAGGAGGAGGGGCAGGGGTAGGAGGAGGGGCAGGGGTAGGAGGAGGGGCAGGGGTAGGAGGAGGGGCAGGGGTAGGAGGAGGGGCAGGGGTAGGAGGAGGGGCAGGGGTAGGAGGAGGGGCAGGAGGTAGGAGGAACAGGGGGAGGGAAGAGGGGCGCGCATGTGGAGTATCTGGTGGAGATGTTTGACGAGGCGGTGGCGGGCATGCGCAAGTGGCTGGTGGCCCGCAGTCACCCCAAGGGCCTCACCTTCATCGCTGAGCGACCCTCGGGGCTGTTAGGGGAGCTGCACCCAAAGATGGACCACCTGGTGAGTGACATCCCCCTCACCCTTTGGATTCCTCTGGCTGCATGCATGATGGCCGTTGGATTGTGTGTTCTGCGCCTCAGCCTCAACCTGGGCCTTTGGATACTCGTATGCTACAAGTCTTCCTCGTTTTCTATACTCGGATGTGCGCCGGGTGTGCTTCTTACACGGATCCTTGGCTTTGAGAGCGAGTTGGTTTTTTAGAATTCTCAAAAACCATACTCGTATGCTACAAGTCTTCCTCGTTTTCTATACTCGGATGTGCGCCGGGTGTGCTTCTTACACGGATCCTTGGCTTTGAGAGCGAGTTGGTTTTTTAGAATTCTCAAAAACCATACTCGTATGCTACAAGTCTTCCTCGTTTTCTATACTCCTGTGCGCCAGCCAGGTGGGCTTCTTACCCGGATCCTTGGCTTCGAGAGCGAGCGAGTGAGTGAGGGGCTGACAGACGGAGAGGCGGCAGCAAAGGGTGTGTGTGTAAATCTGACGCAGCAGGGGACGACGGAGGGGGCTTGTAAAGCTGTTGAGGTGACTCAAATGATTCTCATGCTTTGTCTCCCATTCCCTCCACCCCTCCAGGTGTGCTTCTTACCCGGATCCTTGGCGGCGCTAAGAGCGACTGAGGGGCTGACAGAGGGAGAGGCGGCAGCGAGGTGTGTGCTGACACAGCTGGGGAGGGAGCTGCTGGAGCTCTTGCAATGACTCATGTGTGGTAGCTTTGTTGCCTTTCCTCTCCCTTTCCTCCTTGACAGGTGTGCTTCCTGCCGGGTTCTCTCGCACTAAGAGCGACTGAGGGACTGACAGAGGCAGAGGCGGCAGCAAGGGGGGTGCTGACACAGCAGGGAAAGGAGCTGCTGGACTTGGCAAGGAACGTAACAGAGGCGTGCACTCAGATGTATGAAGTGACGGCCACCGGCCTGGCGCCTGAAATAGCCTACTTCAACATGCGCGTGAGTGGGTTTCTTCTGTAGCCAGCCCTTCACTTTCTGGTGCCTGGGTTGAGTGGGCTCTGCTGGTGACAGGGACATGCATTCAGATGTATCAAGTGACAGCTACCGGCCTGGCGCCTGAGATAGCCTACTTCAACATGCGCGTGAGTGGCTCTTTTCCTGTTTCGCGTGAGCATCACTTGGTGTGCTTTTGTGTTGTTGCTCCTTTTTTGCTTTACCTCTTGATACCCTATTTCAGCATACGACTGAGTCGCTCTTGCTTCGTAGGCTTTCTTGTTGTCATTTTTGTTTTTGACTAATTGTTTGACTGGGTCTGCTGTTGTGGACTACGGTTGAAATGATGGGCCAGCTTTGACACCATTGCTGTAATGTGAATCTTCCGTCAATCCTTTCTCTAAACGACTCCAAACCAGGACTGGAATCGCCTGCATCAGGAATGGAAGGTGATTCTGCCTTGGCACCCTTGCCGATTCCACTGCGGTTTGGTTCTGTGCACTCTCTTATTGTTCCTTCAAAACCTGCAGGAGGATTCTCAGGAGTTCATGGGCACGAGGCGGGACGCGGAGTATGGGAGGGACATTCAGATCCACCAGGCAGACCGGCACAACCTGCTGCGACCGGAGACGGTTGAGGCACTTCTGTATATGCACCGGGTCACTGGGAACCCACGGTAGGTAACCTGGTGTGTGGGTGCCTTCGGCCCATTAGGTGCAGAGTGAACAGAACAGCGCCCCGCGCAACTTGTTGCGACCAGAGGCCGTGGAGGGGAGGTGCCGCTGTATATGCACCGAGTCACTGGGAACCTATGGTGTATGTTAATTTGAGTCAAGTCGGACCTCTGTTGGGGTATCTTTGGCTTTGTGTGTTCCACCACAGCCGTTTCATCTGTTACTTGTCGCGTGGATTGCAGGTATCGCGATGCGGGGTGGCGAATGTTCCAAGCTTTCGAGAAGCATACACGCGTGCCATCGGGTGGATACACTTCACTTGATGATGTTTCTCGAGTGCCTCCGCCCAAGCGCAACAAGATGGAAACTTTCTTGCTTGGGGAAACCCTGAAGTACTTCTACCTGCTCTTTGGGGATAATGACGTACTTCCGTTTGACAAATACGTTTTCAATACAGAGGCACATCCACTGCCTATTCCCAGGTTTCTGGGAAGCACGGAAAGAAGGCGGGTATCACAATGAAGGTACGGCTTAGGAGAGATTTAGCATGAAAGGTGTGGAGCGGTACAGATTGATCCACTTGAGTTGTAGGCTGAATTTGACTTGTTTAGCTTCATTGCAATAAGCTTTCTTTATTGCTTAATGATTAATGGAGGGGGTCTTCTCTTATAACCTTATTGGGTTTGACATTGTTTAAAGAATTACGAAGCAGCTAGAATCGAGGACTTTAGGGCGTGTAATATTGCGATGACCATTCGGTCATGTTGGCCGATATGCGAGGGAAGTGGTAACAAACACCTGGGGCGTCCACATGTAGATACAATGACTATGGTTGTGGTGTGGTCGATTTAGGGGCACCCACCCTTAATTACCCCCGTAATAAGAATTTAAATGTCTAATCCAAAATTCAGCATTCGATGTGGGTGTGGATTATATGGAGCACGAGAAGATGGTTGTGTTTAGCAACCTCATAGGCCTCCGCGAGACAAATTCGGGGACTACCACGTAATGCTATCTGAGGGTGTTTCCCCAAATTTTATTTTGCGGGTGACCATCACGGCGGGGATGTTTTCGTGACCTAAGTGGTCGCACGTACGGTCGCTTGGTTTGGGCGTTTGCTGAATCGGTCGTTATCGTGGTCATTTGGCGGGAAAATCTCGCATCCCTCGCCATCGTGTTACTCCCTTCGCATTCGCACGCCCCAACCAAATGGTCGGATTTTGGCTTCGGTCATCGCAATGTTACACGCCCTTACAACTTGGGCTGCCCCCTGAACACTTTTCTTCAGCGTTCCCTACCGCATTCGTGATTGATGAGAGCTCTTTCTGCCTCCATTGATCTTCCGCACTCTGTTTCGTCCGTGCGTTTCCAGTACGCATGGCCGGCGTATCCGGGGTACGCGGGCACGACGATGCGTTAAGGGCGTTTTTCGACCACATTTCGCGGCGCATTGTCGCGCTTGGCGAGCATTCGCGAAGTGTGTACGAACAGATCCGGCGCCAGAAGAGCACAGTTCGCGAAAGTCGTAAGCTCCCAGCAAACAAAACCGAAGCGAGCAGGGCCACCGCGGGAAATGGCGGCAGCGCTGGTGGCGGCAGCGGGAATGTCGGGAATGGTGGTGACGGCGCTCCTTCCGCATCGCTCTCCGCGCGAGGTGTGATTCTTCAGCGATTCGTCAGCGCAGGAGATCCGATGGGCGGCTGCCAGCTGGCGTGGTCGCTGCGCGCCGATTCGCTGCGCTCCAGCGGGGCCGGGGAAGCGGAGAGGCGCGGGGAGGGCGAGGGGGAGGGGAGGGGGATGGAGAACGTGGATGGGAAGAGGATGGACGAGGGAGAAGCGCAAGGGATGGCGGAAGGTGGTATCGTCGCGACCAAGGTACTTACATTTCAGTAATGCCCTCCCTTATAGTAACTCCCTCGCTTGCATTAGTGCCTTCCCTTGAAGTGCTTTCTCTTTTCATCGTCATGCTTCTTTTCATCCCTGGCCGTGTTGGAGTGGCTCGCCAACCACAGGCCGTCCTTCAGTTAAACCGTCCCCCCTGGCTCTAAACCGTCCCCCCTGGCTCTAAACCGTCTCTCCTTGTGCCTCGTCTTAACTGCTTTTTACTCTCCCCTCCTCTCATCCCCTTCTCCCTCCTCGCGTTTCCTTCCCTCCTCTCCTCTCCCCTCGTCTCCTCATCTGCCTCACCCCCGTCAGGTGGAAGGGCAGCTGTTTCAGGACGGCAGGCCTCTGTACGCGTTTAGAGGCGACTCAGCACAGGCACTGGAATCTACAATCAACGTCACTGGTGAATTGAAGGTCCCTTGTGAACTCAGTAAAGAATCAAGAGTGCACATCAGCACCGTTTCAGTGGAACAGTATAATACTGTGTACTTTTGTTGCTGTGATTGCAGGGAACGTGCTTGTATTGGATTCACAGTCAGGAGCGCAATTCACATCAGGCTATCAGGCTGTCCATCACTTTTTACGCATTCATCTGCCGCTTTCAATCTTCTCAATTTTCCGCCCTGAACTTGCCATAGATATACTCCTGTATCCTACTAAACGAACCCCCTTTCTCTACCCACACCCCCCTCCTTTCCTACTTCCACACCCCGCCACCCCCCCGCTCTGCCCACTCCCTCTTCCCCCCTCCCCGACACTCCGTTTTCCCCTCCGTCCCCATTCCCCTTCCTTCGATACACATGCAGAGCTGGAATGCCTCCGAGTCCTGCCCCTCACTCCCCTCGCCCCTCACTCCACCCCAACCTCAACTTCCTACCCCACACACACCCTCCGACTTTCCGATTCCTCTCCCTTCTCCCTTTTCCGTTTCCTTTCACTCACATGCAGAGTTGGAATGCCTCTGAGTCCTGCCTTTCACTCACTAACTCTGTCAGCTGCAGCCTTCCTGGAACCTTCCACGTGATTCTGCCTCGTGTCACCATCACTCGAGCGTCTCTCGCTCTCACTCACTCTGACTCAGCTCAACAAGACTCTGACCCAGCAGCAGCAGGTGCAGCGGCAGCAGCAGAGGCACAGGTGCCACGTGGCAAGCAGTTGGATGATTTGAAAGTGAGTTCACATGAGGATCATCCAATTGAACCAGCGACCAGCGTGATTAACGGTGAGAGGAGTGAGAGGAGAGACAGGAGCGATAAATTGCAAAGGAAAGCGCAATTGCGGATTTGCGAAGGGGAATCGGAGCAGCAGCAATCTCGGCTGGTTCCCCTGCAGCAACAGTGTAAGGTGAAGGAGCATCAGCAGCAGGAGAAGGAGCAGGATGAGGCGAACCAGGAGGAGAATTTTAAGGCAGCAGCACCTTGGTGGTTGACGGCTGATGCTCATGTGGTCGCACAGGGCCCTGTCAAAGGCTGGGTCAGCCTGCCATCCTCGTTTGTATCTGGCTCGTTAAGAGGCCTTTCGAGGCTGATTAAGGATGCTGAAAGTAGTCAGCGGCAGCAGCGGGGGGCAGTAGGGCATGGGCGGCATGGCTTGGCAGGTAGTGATGGAGGTTTGAAGAGGGGGGATGGGGGGAAGAGTGGGAAAGCAAACAAGAGCGCTTGGACGGGAGTGGAGTGTGCAGGAGGGTTTGAGTGGAATCTGCCACGTGGCGAAATATCATTGGCTGGGCCAATCTCAGCGTCGTGCCCGAGTATGGACGGGCAGGTGAGAGCAGGGGGAGGTGTTATCTGGCTGCAGCAATCCGAAGCTCTCCTGCACTCTCAAGTTCAGGTTGACTTGCATAGAACCCACCTGACAGCTCCGCGAATCAGGTGGCAGCACCTGGCGGAGCAGGTTGGCATTCCTACTGCCAGCTCCTCTCACCCTTCATCCTCCTTGTTGTCGTCCTCGGCATCGTCTAAAAGAGGGTATGTTTCAGCAGCTTCAGTGTACACTGGAGTTTCTTCTACCCGCGGCAGCACAAGAGGCATTCAGAAATCTTTGCCTGCCCCTGAAAAAGTGCGGTTGTGGAAAAAGGAAGGGAAAGGCCCTCAAGCAGCAACATATGGGGAAGGGATGTCTGGAGCGGAAGGGTGGGTGGTTGAGGCTGAAGGGGGAACGAAGTTTTGGTCGGATGATAAAGGAGCTAAAAGAGGGGGGAAGAGGTTATAGGTCTTCCATAGGATACTAAGCTTCATCGTGGGGTGGGTCTGCATTCTGTACTAGATTTCGAGGGTTATTGATACTGTTTCATTGTATGGTGTAGAAATATTTTTGTCAAAATCGAGACGATTTTATCTGGTTTGGGGATTGCCTATCTCATAAATCTTCGTGCAAGCGAAACTTGGCAGTGAGCTCAGTGGCTCAGGGCTCTTCGGTTCCGCCTGAAATTTTCGTCAGCTGGTAGCGATGGTTACCACTTCCTGACACACACATCTTCCCGCGCACTCGTTCTGAATCTGCGTGGTACTTCAAGAGAGGTTTAACACGTTTTAGCACGGTGAATTAGCTAGTAAAATGCGTTTCAGTGCGGTGGTGGTCCAAATTCCGACCACATTCAGCTCTCAAGAAACCAGCGGCCCAGCACTACTGTAATCCCTTCGGACGAAGTATGCGTAATGTACTTATGCATGAGTAATGTGTAAGTGCGTCCACCGAAGTGTGGTTCGCCAAGACCCTCGGGCCGCGAGCTCCTCAAGGTCTGGAAGCGTGTCACGAATCTGACATCAGGGCCGTGACGAAGCACATTCGGGATCCATATTTTCCTGATCAGGCGAATTCAAGTTACGGGATTATCGGTGCAATGTCGTCATCAGCGGAAGATGGGACTGAAGCTCCCCCCCGATTCGAGCGCGATCGTCACGTGTTTTACTTCGTAAACTGTCTCAACGGTCTTCCCGCCGCGTACGAGTCGCAGGAGAGCAACCGGCTCACGTTGGCTTACTTTTGCATCGTCGCTTTGGATCTTCTGCAAGCTCTTGACAAGGTTTGTACGTGTTATAAGCGTTGTAACTATGCTACAAATTAACGTACAATATCTGAATTACTTGCCTGACTGTCTCAAATGGCTCGCCAGAAGATTCTCAATTGGGTAAATTCCCTCAAGGTCCTGGACCCTGAATGTACCCAGGCGAAGAAGGATGAAGGTGGTAACCCTGTAACCGTTCCGCTAACCAAACCTTTTTTTCCCCTTGACCCTCAAACTGAATGTCTCAGGTGGATCGTCAGAAGATTCTCAACTGGGTGCATTCCCTGAAGGTCCTGGACCCTGAAATGATTCAGGCGAAGAAGGCTGGTGGTAACCCTGTGACAAAGCCTGTCGCCACCACCACTCCCACTCCAATCGCCGAAGCTGCTGCTTCCATCTCAGCACTTTCTGTGCAACCTGGTGCTGACGTGTCAACTTTATCCATGCAAGCTGGTGCTGACATGGCTCCAAGAAACAGCAGCAGCAGCATGGCACGGGAACTGGAAACAACAGCAGGGTGTGGCAGCAGCAGCAATGGTCCGTTGTGGCTTGGTGCAGAGGTGTTAGGGTTTCGAGGCTCGCCTTCCATTGGCGTGGCGTACAGCACGCGAGGGGTGAGTAGAGCAGGGCGGAGCGACTTTCAAGTGGGGTCGTTCGTGCCTGGGTGGGTGCAGGGGTGCTAGGGTTTCGAGGCTCGCCTTCCATTGGCGTGGAGTACAGCACTCGAGGGGTGAGTTTCTGTGCTGCATGCTGCAGTGAATCGTTGCACCACTTTGTACATGTTTGCCTCCCCTTGCAGCCCTTTGTACCTCTTTGCACGTAATTGTGTCACTTTTCACCTCTTTGCACCCCTTCGTACCTCTCACAGGCGCCCAAGCAGTTGCCCTACGACTGCAGCCACATCGCAATGACCTGCACTCCCCTCGCCATCCTCGCCACCCTAGCGGATACTGCTCCCAGTCATAACGCATCAAGGGTGTCATACCTCTTTGCACCGCTTTGTACCTATTTCCACCCCTTTGTACCTCTTTTCGCCCCTTTGTACCACTTCAGGCGCCGAAGCAGTCGCCCTACGACTGCACCCACATCGCAATGACCTACACTGCCCTCGCCATCCTCGCCACCCCTAATGATGAGCCTTTTCCTAGTAGCAGTGAATCAAGCATGTTTTGCCCCTTTGTTCCCCTTTGTACCCCTTTGCACCCCTTTGTATCACTTTGCACCCCTTTGTACCTCTCACAGGCGCCCAAGCAGTCACCCTACGACTGCAGCCACATCGCAATGACCTACACTGCCCTCGCCATCCTCGCCACCCTAAATGATGAGCCTTCTCCCAGTCATAGCCCTGTCGAAGGTGACGTTTGCAGTGCCGGCTGCAGTGGTGGCTGCAGCGCCGGTTGCACTGCTGATTGCAGTGTTGGCTGCAAGAGAGCTTCAGTGGAGGAATCTTGTGAGGGGGGAAGTGCAGGGTGTGCAGACGAGGAGGCGGAAGAGAGGAGCAAGGAGGGTGCGGGTGCGAGGTGCGGAGATGGAGTGGATGCAGCAGTGTGTGGGGGAGCAGGAGAGGCGGGGGGCACGACAGGAGAGGCGGGGGGCACGACAGGAGAGGCGGGGGGCACGACAGGAGAGGCGGGGGGCATGACAGGAGAGGCGGGGGGCATGACAGGAGAGGCGGGGGGCATGACAGGAGAGGCGGGGGGCATGACAGGAGAGCTCCGAGGCATGGCGAAGTCGCTGCGAGAGCTGCAACTGCAGGATGGGAGGTGAGGTGAACTGCTGGAAAGGGTTGGGCTGGGTTGGGCTGGGTTGGGCTGGGTTGGGCTGGGTTGGGCTGTGTTGGACTGGACATGACTAATTGGATTGGGAGGTGAGGTGGATTGTTGTGTGGACTGCACTAGTGATACAGGGAGCTGAGACAAGAGAGTATGTTTCCAGTTTATCCATTGGTTTCCCTTCTTTTTCCAGTTTATCCATTGGTTTCCCTTCTTTTTCCAGTTTATCCATGAGTTCCCAATCCAAGCCCCTCCCCTCCTGATTTTCTTGCCAATCATCACCTTCCCCTCCCCAACCCCCCTCCGCGCGTGCCACTCACGCTTACTAGTTCGGTTGTTCACGCTCTTCCATTCTCCTTTTCTCGCACCCCACTTGCCTCCTCCCTCCCTGCTCCCTTAACGTTTCACTGCTCCATCCTCCCTGTTCCCTTCACGTTTCACTGCTCCGCCCCTCCAGTTTCATGCCGGTTGCATGTGGGAGTGAGTCTGACATGCGCTTCGTCTTCTGCGCTGGTGAGAGGTGCTGAGGGGTGCTGAGGGGTCCTGCAGGGTGCTGAGGGGTCCTGCGGGGTGCTGAGGGCTGCTGAGGGGTGGTTAGGGGTGGTGAGGGTGAGGGCATGGCACACACACGGTGTGCACATGGCACACACCTTACTTACTAATCTGTGCGCTTACTGCATGGCTTATCATGCCTGGTCTCTCACAGGTTCAAGCGTGTTTCACCAGCAGGCAAGTAATATTGTCACCATGCTTCAAAGGTTTCCTTGCAGCAGCCACACCCCCTTCCGCGCCTCCCTTCTACCCCCACCACCCAACCCTCCAGCGGCTATTTCAAGAATGATTGGAGATTGGCGCGGGGGAGTGGATGTGCCGCGTGCTGACTTTTGAGTCGACTAAAAAAACACACCTCCCTTCCACCCCCCACCACACCACCCAACCCGGCAGCTGCTATTTCAAGCATGATTGGAGATTGGCGGGGAGTGGATGTGCGCCGTGCGGTGGACTACATTCAGAGATCACAGGTGGGCAGACACGCCATGGGCTTAATTGAAGCAACTTTTGAGGCGTCTCAAAAGTCGTCTCATGTCTCGTGGATGTGCCTCGTGCTGTGGACTACATTCAGAGATCACAGGTGGGTAAACATGTCATGGGCTTAATTGAAGCAGCTGCTATTCCTCTCGAGCATGGGTAGAGATCGAGGGGGAGAATGGATGTGCCTCGTGCTGTGAACTACATTCAGAGATCACACCTCCTGATGTCTTTGTCTCCGCCCACTTCCCTCCACCAGTCATTTGATGGCGGGTTCGGCCTTGGCCCGGGCTTCGAAGCTCATGGTGGGTTTCTTCGCAAATGTATATGTATGTATATATATATGCATATATACATGTATTTGTTCGTCCCCGTTTTTTCTTCTTCTTTGTTCTTTTCCTGGTCTGTTTTGCCCAAATTTAACTTCTCTTTTGGGTGTTGAATGTGTCAATTGATTTCTCGTTTTACACATGAGGTTTTGCTTTTTGGGGGGAGAAAGGGGGGGGGCTGGGAGAGGAAAGGACGGGAGGGGTACTAAACAGGTGCATGTAGTTACATGAGTTTGGGACCGCACTCCCTGCTCCCAGCCATGTGTTTAAAGAAGTGTTTTGAGACGTCTCACTGAGAAAACACTTCTTCAAACACGTCGCACTCCCTGCTCCCAGCCATCCTCAAAACATTTTGGACTCAATCCATTGTTTTCTTTGTGTCCAGGAGGAGCCACCTACTGTGCAGTGGCAGCACTGCAGCTCATTGCATCCTCAACACCAGCATTATTGTCAGCAGCAGCAGCAGCAGCAGCAGCAGCTTCAGCAGCAGCCAGGAGCAACAGAAGCATTGTGTCCGTCATTATCAACAGCATCAGCAGTATCGCCCTTAGGAGCATCAGCAGCGGCAGCGGCAGCACCATCAGCAGCAGCATCGCCATTAGCACCGGCCCCAGAGTTATCACATTTGCCGCCGCCGATGTCGCCGCTGCTGCAATTGCTGTCGAGACCAGCAGCATGCTCACACAATGAGTCAGCCGCAGCGGCAGCAGGTGCACAAGAAAAGCCAGCAGCACCGGGCGTTCCAACAGAATCAGAGTTGCAGGCAGTAGCAGGTGCACATGCACATGCGCAACGTGCAGCAGCAGAGGAGCAGACACGCACCTCTCCTATGCTGTCTGCTGACGTGCTTCCGCTGATCGACTGGTGCCTTCAGGTCTGCTCTTCCTTCATTATCAACAGCGGAACTGTTGATCAGACTGTATTCCTTTGTTGCTGTCTTCCAATGGGGTGGGCGGTGTGTGCTGCTGGTTGAGCAAGCAGCACCTGGCTGCACCTAGGTTTTGCTGCACCTCTCTGCACCTAGCTGCACCTCACTGACCCTCGCTGACCCTCGCTGCACGTTGCTGTTCCTCGCTGCACCTCGCTGCACCTCGCTGTACCTCGCTGCACCTCGCTGTACCTCACTGCATGAAGCGACACCATCTTATCACCGACTTCATCTGTTCTCGTCCTCGCTTGCATCTTCCATCACATCCCATCCTCCTGCAGGGTATTTTTGAGAATTCTCAAAATACCCTCTTCCATCACATCCCATCCCAACAAACTCCTTCCCAACCCATTCCACACCATCCCTTCTCCCTGCATGGAAGCAGAGGCAAGGACCAGAGGGGGGGTTTCAGGGGCGCCGCAACAAGCCGGCCGACACGTGCTATGCCTTCTGGTGGGCCTCTATTCCTATGCTCGTCTTTATTCCTCTGCTCTATTCCTGTGCCCCGATCTCTTCCGGTGCTCTATCTCCATTTCATTCGTTCAGTGTACAACCGGTGCAGCCCATTTTGTAAGATACATCCTCAAGCCCTTCGCTTAAATCAGTTCCAGTCCAGCAGGCAGCAGACTCACTGTTCGTATCACCCGCTGTCCCTCTCCATTCACATCACCCTCGCCATCCCCTCTCCCACACTCTCTCTCTCGGGCTGGGCGGCACACTGAGCATGCTGGGAGCAGATCACCTCATTGACCATACTGGTCAGAGCATGGAAATCACTTTTGAGAATTCTCAAAAGCAGATCACCTCATTGACCATACTGGTCAGAGCATGGAAATCACTTTTGAGAAATCTCAAAAGCAGATCACCTCATTGACCATACTGGTCAGAGCATGCTCAGAGCACACTCAGCATGCTGGTGTTCATACTGCCATTCCCCACCCACTTACGTGCCCTCCTTCCCTTCCTGTCCCTCTTATACTCTCCCAGGCTGGGCGGCACACTCAGCATGGTGGGAGCAGATCACCTCATTGACTTCCCAGCCCTCCGAAGCTTCCTCTTCACCTGCCAGAACACGGTGAGTGACTCAGCAGCACTTGTTAAAATAACAACTAACAACTATCTTACTGATATGGTTACCACAGGCACAACCATTGAAGCTTCCTCTTCACCTGCCAGAACATGGTGAGTGGGGCAGCAGCACTTGTGGGTGCAAATCACATGTCATATCTTGAGGCGCCTCAGAACAGGAGACGACTTTTGCGGCTCCTCAAAAGTTGTATCGCCCCTGTTTTGGATTCAAAGCACATGTCATATTTGTTCCCTCTCCTTCTCCCATCCCCCCTTGGCCTCCTAAGAGGTACGGGGGGTTCAGCAAGCACCCAGGGGGGTTTCCCAAACATCCTCCATACCCTGAACGAAGGCTCCCTGCGGATTCTTTTGAGTCGACTCAAAAGCACCCAGGGGGGTTTCCCAAACATCCTCCATACTCTGAACGAAGGCTCCCTGCGGATTCTGCCTGGCAGCTGGTTCAGCTCTTTTTAAACCCTTCCCCCCCTCTCTTCCTCTCTCCTGCCACAGCGGTACGGGGGGTTCAGCAAGCACCCAGGAGGATTCCCTGACATCCTGCACTCCTTCTACGGGGTCTGTGGGTTCTGCCTGGCTGGGGAGCCAGGCCTGCTTCCCCTGCACGTGCCTCTGGGTATCTCCAGGCGAGCAGCTGCTTGTTTTAACCAGAAGATTTGATGTTTGACTTTATGGGAGACCTGTTTTGCTGAATCCCTTTCCCAAATGTTGCTGCAAGTACCATACAGTGGTTTCATACAGTATTAAATCATTATGTGAGTCAGGTTAAACGCTGACAGATGGTACTGCTAATTTGCTAAAAGACACTGAATCCATCCACCTGCTACCGCTGCAGCAGGAGAGTTAGTTGTCGGCAGGACCAGCGTAACTACTTTCACCCAGCCCCGCTGACCACTGTTTCCTCGTAACCCCCCTACCCATATACCACGCGCATCCAGGTACCCCACCCAACCCCTCTGTCACCCAGTCACCCCGATCTATCCTCCTGCCCTATCTTTCGGTCATCCCTGTCCCCTCATGCCTCTGTCCCTCCTGTCCTCGTTATACGCTCCCTCATGCTCCCAAGCACTTTTGACAGCTGTCGCTGCAGCGGCCGATGCTTTCTTGTTGGTCCCATCCCCATTCCCTCCCCTGAATGTGACTCTGCTGCCCCCCCCATTACTGTCACTCCTGATGCTGCGGGTGTCTGAATACCAGCCTCTTCCACAAAACCCAACTCGTTGTTGTCACGTTCTGTTGCTGTCCATGATACACTACCCTTTGCTCCATAATCACTTGCTTTATCAGTTGCTACAGAATCCACTGTGCTATCGAAGCTTGCTGATTGCCACCCGCTCAACAGCGACCGAATCGCCGATTCCGGCATGGACGCGACACGTCCGCGGCTCCGCAGACTGCTTCCCCCAAGATTCCCCTTCTTCCCATTCGCTACTGCAGACCTTCCGTTCTCCCCATTCGTGTCCCCGAACCTCCCGTTTTCCCTGCTTGCTCTGCCAAAGCTCCCCTTTCCCGCGGCACTGCTGCCCCGCGCGTTGCTGCTGTGGCCGCAGCTGCTGCCCCGCTGCCCCGTGCGCGGAGTCCGCGCGCTCTCGAGCGAGCACTTCCTAGGCGCCGCAATTGGCGGCG